TGAGACCTGTCCACGTGTCCCTGTTGGACTGAGACCTGTCCACGTGTTCCCGCCTCTCATTGACCCAGAGAGGAAGATGATGATGATAAAAACCCTAAGGCTCAAAACAACCAAATAAAACTTTATTGATAAATTTTTTAATTTTGTTTCTTTGGAATAAAACAACAACATTTTTGTAATTTGTTGTTTTTTTTTGTGTAAACTTCTTAATAATTCTGATGATTCTGGAAAATTACTTTATTATTATGGTTCATAATTATTATTGTTCAGAATTATCTAATATTTTTGTTTATAATTATTTATTGTTTATAAATATTTATTGTTTATTGTTTTGTTGCGGCCTTTCTCTTGATCCAAGTGGGACCGGTTCGGTCCGGTTCTGATGAAAGTCTTTGTCAGTCTGCAGGTTCGTGGGCGGTCCAGTCGAGATGGTGGGTCTGGACTCCAGAACCAGAGCCGGGTCTGTGGTGACCGTGCACGCGGCCCTGCGTAGGAAGCGGCGTGTGCTGTTCTCTCAGAACCAGGTTCTGGAGCTGGAGCGGCGGTTCCGACAGCAGCGGTACCTGTCGGGTCCGGAGCGGGAGCAGCTGGCGGCTCGGATCCACCTCACCCCGAACCAGGTCAAGATCTGGTTCCAGAACCACCGCTACAAGCTGAAGCGGCAGGACAAGGCCGCTGGTTCTGGGTCCCCGCTCCGAACCAAGACCCACAGGGACTCCGTCCGGACCGGAACCAGGCAGAACGGGCCTACCGAGGCCGGAGTGGAACGCCCGCAGCTCCTGGACCGGAATCAGCTGGAGGATCTGAGTAGTCCCCTATTGGGTCTACAGGCCCAGGTGGGCCTGGCCCAATCGGAACCAGGACTCGTAGAGTACTGTATGGGGTCCGGAGAGTCCGGGTTGCCGTACGGGAGGACTTGGTAGGACCAGTACCGAAGCGGACCGGACAGTTTTGGGTCACACCGGGTTTGGTCGGACTCAGAGGTTCGGAACAGAACTGAACTGGGTTTGTGGACCGAACCCTAATTTTAACAAACTGTTTTTTATATATATACGACGTGCACGCGCTTCCCATAAATACCTACAGGTTTCAGCACCGAACCGAACCGAAGCATGTAAAACTTTTTCTGCTCCAGGAAATAAATTATTTAATTTTGGACCAAAACCCAGAACCGCTTTGAAGTTTATCTGATCAGAACCAGAACTTTAAACGTGAATAGTTCTGGATCAGGCAGCACGTGGCACAACTGGTAGAGCTGCTGCCTCTCAGCGAGCAGGTCCCTGGTTCAAATCCCGGTCCGGGGGTCTTTGTGGGTGGAGTTTGCATGTTCTCTCCGTGCATGCGTGGGTTTTCTCCGGGTGCTCCAGTTTCCTCCCACAGACCAAAAACATGCATGTTAGGCTGATTGGTAACTCTAAACTGTCCCGAGGTGTGTGTGAGAGAGTGAATGGTTGTTTGTCCCTGTGTTGGACTGAGACCTGTCCAGGTGTCCCTGTGTTGGAC